GGACACTACCTTCCGTGATATGTGTCTTTTCCCCATCTCTCCCTCCACCCCTCCCTCAACCCTCCCTCCATCCACTCCATTCGCTCCTCCCTCCATCCGCTCCCTCCCTCCCCTCTTCCTTCCTCCTATTTCCGGTCCTCACGGATGAGAGGGAAATGGAACCAGTTGACTGGACAAAGGTGCCAAACAGTGGCCACAACAGTCTGGTGACACAAGTGGTAGACCTCCTCGCGCGCCTCCTCGTCAATACTACACCATTACACTCTTATCTTGTAGGGTAAAAGGCTCCAACCTGCGTCTCCCCGCGGATCTAAAAAAAGAAAATCTTCATTATTCGTTTTGTATATATAAGAATTGTTGGATGAAAGTTTGGGTGTAAAATGGTGCGTTGCTTATCATTGTGTTGACACGTGGGGTAGAGTGACTTGTTGGGTGTAGCTGGTAGATGTTTCTAGTAGTGTGTTAGAAGCCAGGTAGATGTTTCTAGTAGTGTGTTAGAAGCCAAGTAGATGTTTCTAGTAGTGTGTTAGAAGCCAGGTAGATGTTTCTAGTAGTGTGTTAGAAGCCAGGTAGATGTTTCTAGTAGTGTGTTAGAAGCCAGGTAGATGTTTCTAGTAGTGTGTTAGACGCCAGGTAGATGTTTCTAGTAGTGTGTTAGACGCCAGGTAGATGTTTCTAGTAGTGTGTTAGAAGCCAGGTAGATGTTTCTAGTAGTGCCAGAAGCCAGGTAGATGTTTCTAGTAGTGTTAGAAGCCAGGTAGATGTTTCTAGTAGTGTTAGAAGCCAGGTAGATGTTTCTAGTAGTGTGTTAGAAGCCAGGTAGATGTTTCTAGTAGTGTGTTAGAAGCCAGGTAGATGTTTCTAGTAGTGTGTTAGAAGCCAGGTAGATGTTTCTAGTAGTGTGTTAGAAGCCAGGTAGATGTTTCTAGTAGTGTGTTAGAAGCCAGGTAGATATTGTTAGTGGCGTGTCAGGTGTGAGTTCAATAGAAGTCATTTGTGAGTCAATATTTCTATGACAAACATGACTGCGGTAAAGCGAGTGGCAACAAGGAAAATTAATGTATCAGATGCCAGGGGTGATCTCACATGTGTAAAATGAGCACATAATGTAAGTACATACAGAAGAAATATCAATACAAATGGTAGCGTTGCTCTCCGCCAGCCATCACAGTTGGGAAGTACCTTGAATTTAAATCATGAAACCACACAGTTTCGGTTAAAAAAAACAAATGCCTGTCAGTCAAATATCAGCAAAAAATAAAAGAAAAAATGGAAAAAATATTATAATTAAAACAATTGGAATTAAAATAGTGTGGTTGTGTAGGGAGTGTTTGTGAAGGATGAAGGGTGTAGGGAGTGTTTGTGAAGGGTGTAGGGAGTGTTTGTGAAGGGTGTAGGGAGTGTTTGTGAAGGATGAAGGGTGTAGGGAGTGTTTGTGAAGGATGAAGGGTGTAGGGAGTGTTTGTGACGGGTGTAGGGAGTGTTTGTGACGGGTGTAGGGAGTGTTTGTGAAGGGTGTAGGGAGTGTTTGTGAAGGGTGAAGGGTGTAAGGAGTGTTTGTGAAGGGTGTAGGGAGTTTGTGAAGGGTGTAGGGAGTGTGAAGGGTGAAGGGAGTGTTTGTGAAGGGTGTAGGGAGTGTTTGTGAAGGGTGTAGGGAGTGTTTGTGAAGGGTGTAGGGAGTGTTTGTGAAGGGTGTAGGGAGTGTTTGTGAAGGGTGTAGGGAGTGTTTGTGAAGGGTGTAGGGAGTGTTTGTGAAGGGTGTAGGGAGTGTTTGTGAAGGGTGTAGGGAGTGTTTGTGAAGGGTGTAGGGAGTGTTTGTGAAGGGTGTAGGGAGTGTTTGTGAAGGGTGTAGGGAGTGTTTGTGAAGGGTGTAGGGAGTGTTTGTGAAGGGTGTAGGGAGTGTTTGTGAAGGGTGTAGGGAGTGTTTGTGAAGGGTGTAGGGAGTGTTTGTGAAGGGTGTAGGGAGTGTTTGTGAAGGGTGTAGGGAGTGTTTGTGAAGGGTGTAGGGAGGTTTGTGAAGGGTGTAGGGAGTGTTTGTGAAGGGTGAAGGGAGTGTTTGTGAAGGGTGTAGGGAGTGTTTGTGAAGGGTGAAGGGAGTGTTTGTGAAGGGTGTAGGGAGTGTTTGTGAAGGGTGTAGGGAGTGTTTGTGAAGGGTGTAGGGAGTGTTTGTGAAGGGTGTAGGGTGTAGGGAGTGTTTGTGAAGGGTGTAGGGTGTAGGGAGTGTTTGTGTAGGGTGTAGGGAGTGTTTGTGAAGGGTGTAGGGAGTGTTTGTGAAGGGTGTAGGGTGTAGGGAGTGTTTGTGAAGGGTGTAGGGTGTAGGGAGTGTTTGTGAAGGGTGTAGGGTGTAGGGAGTGTTTGTGAAGGATGCAAAGTGTAGGGAGTGTTTGTGAAGGGTGTAGGGTGTTGGGAGTGTTTGTGAAGGGTGTAGGGTGTAGGGAGTGTTTGTGAAGGGTGTAGGGTGTAGGGAGTGTTTGTGAAGGGTGTAGGGTGTTGGGAGTGTTTGTGAAGGGTGAAGGGTGTAGGGAGTGTTTGTGAAGGGTGTAGAGTGTAGGGAGTGTTTGTGAAGGGTGTAGGTTGTTGGGAGTGTTTGTGAAGGGTGTAGGGTGTAGGGAGTGTTTGTGAAGGGTGTAGGGTGTAGGGAGTGTTTGTGAAGGGTGTAGGTTGTAAGGAGTGTTTGTGAAGGGTGCAGGGTGTAGGGAGTGTTTGTGAAGGGTGCAGGGTGTAGGGAGTGTTTGTGAAGGGTGTAGGGTGTAGGGAGTGTTTGTGAAGGGTGTAGGGTGTAGGGAGTGTTTGTGAAGGGTGTAGGTTGTTGGGAGTGTTTGTGAAGGGTGCAGGGTGTAGGGAGTGTTTGTGAAGGGTGCAGGGTGTAGGGAGTGTTTGTGAAGGGTGTAGGGTGTAGAGAGTGTTTGTGAAGGGTGCAGGGTGTAGGGAGTGTTTGTGAAGGGTGCAGGGTGTAGGGAGTGTTTGTGAAGGGTGTAGGGAGTGTTTGTGAGGGGTGCAGGGTGTACGGAGTGTTTGTGACGGGTGCAGGGTGTAGGGAGTGTTTGTGAAGGGTGCAGGAGCGGAGAACCCACGCATGATCAACACTAACCTGCATCACAGAGTCTCAAGGTGTTGGATCCCGGTAAGGAATGAGAATGAACGCCGAGAATAGCAATGAGAGTGATATATCACAGGAGAAAGGCTAACGATGTGGAATACCGTAACCGGAAAGGCGGCGTTCGTTCCAGATACCCGGCCGACCGGCTTCCACTTGGGGGGGGGGGGGGGACAAGGACCCGTGGGGGGTATCTCACGACTTATAGTCACATTAATTACCGCAAGGTTGGAAGCCTCGGCCGTATGTTTCGAATTACTCATCTCAAGATGTACGATACGTTTTATACCACCTCAAGTGCCACATTGGTTCTTTCTGATTAGAGATTATTCACCTCAGTTGACCCCAAGGTGGCGTAGGTGCCCCTTGAGCGATCTCTGGACACATTCACGTCAGCTACCACGGCGGGAATGATGTCCTTTCTGCGCCAGATAACTCACCTGGCCAGGTGGAGAGCCCCCCCCCACCCCCCCACCCCCAAGCCTCGTAACATCTGCATCTTGTCCCATACTCTACTGCATGGGAGAGGGCGGCCTCTTGTGGACTACGTGTATAGTCTTGGGCTTAATACGTAGCGATCTCTGGAGGGGTTATTAAGGCCCATCAGCCTCTGGAGGGTTATTAAGGCCTATCAGCCTCTGGAAGGTTATTAAAGCCTATCAGCCTCTGGAAGGTTATTAGGGCCTATCAGCCTCTGGAAGGTTATTAAGGCCTATCAGCCTCTGGAGGATTATTAAGGCCTATCAGCCTCTGGAGGTTTATTAAGGCCTATCAGCCTCTGGAGGGTTATTAAGTCCTATCAGTCTCTGGAGGGTTATTAAGGCCCATCAGCCTCTGGAGGGTTATTAAGATCTATCAGCCTCTCGGGGGTTATTAAGACCTATCACCCTCTGGAAAGTTATTAAGACCTATCAGCCTCTGGAGGGTTATTAAGACCTGTCAGCCTCTGGAGGGTTATTAAGACCCATCAGCCTTTGGAGGGTTATTAAGACCTATCAGCCTCTGGAGGGTTATGAAGGCCCATCAGCCTCTGGAGGGTTATTAAGACCTATCAGCCTCTGGAGGGTTATGAAGGCCCATCAGCCTCTGGAGGGTTATTAAGACCTATCAGCCTCTGGAGGGTTATTAAGACCTATCAGCCTCTGGAGGGTTATGAAGGCCCATCAGCCTCTGGAGGGTTATTAAGACCTATCAGCCTCTGGAGGGTTATTAAGCCCCATCAGCCTCAGGAGGGTTATTAAGACCTATCAGCCTCTGGAGGGTTATGAAGACCTATCAGCCTCTGGAGGGTTATGAAGACCTATCAGCCTCTGGAGGGTTATTAAGACCTATCAGCCTCTGGAGGGTTATTAAGCCCCATCAGCCTCTGGAGGGTTATTAAGACCTATCAGCCTCTGGAGGGTTATGAAGACCTATCAGCCTCTGGAGGGTTATTAAGACCTATCAGCCTCTGGAGGGTTATTAAGCCCCATCAGCCTCAGGAGGGTTATTGAGGCCACACAAGTAGCTCAGTGACCAACCGCCAAGTAATCTGGAGCTCTCATTATATAGTCCACGATTAATGTAAACTCACTCTACAAACACGGAGAAGCGGGGTATACCTCTCCATACACCAGCCACATGGGTATACATATCTCTAGGTGCTTCCTCGCCTCCAGGTGTGCTTCAGGTGTGTAACAAGTACATGTGGCCCTAGAAAATATGATAAGACAATTAGATTATATATAATCGATCTCTCACGGTAACATCTTTGATGGAATTCCAATTTTTTTTTATTGCGTTTTTTTTATGTTACTGTTCATTAACAAAAGAAGAACATAACATATTCCGACTCTTGGTTATAGCGGCATCGAGCGAAACTCAGAGCTAGTGATCGATTTCTACTGGCAACCTGAGCGGGGAATTATGCATCAGTTTCGTCATGGAAGCAATATGGCGGCCAGGACGCCATCTCGGCCAGGCTGTGCCCCAAACTGGGCTCTGGCCTGTGCTCCAAGCTGGGCTCTGGCCTGTGCTCCAAGCTGGGCTCTGCCCTGTGCTCCAAGCTGAGCTCTGGCCTGTGCTCCAAGCTGAGCTCTGGCCTGTGCTCCAAGCTGGGCTCTGACCTGTGCTCCAAGCTGGGCTCTGGCCTGTGCTCCAAGCTGGGCTCTGACCTGTGCTCCAAGCTGGGCTCTGGCCTGTGCTCCAAGCTGAGCTCTGGCCTGTGCTCCAAGCTGGGCTCTGACCTGTGCTCCAAGCTGGGCTCTGCCCTGTGCTCCAAGCTGAGCTCTGGCCTGTGCTCCAAGCTGAGCTCTGGCCTGTGCTCCAAGCTGGGCTCTGGCCTGTGCTCCAAGCTGAGCTCTGGCCTGTGCTCCAAGCTGGGCTCTGACCTGTGCTCCAAGCTGGGCTCTGCCCTGTGCTCCAAGCTGAGCTCTGGCCTGTGCTCCAAGCTGAGCTCTGGCCTGTGCTCCAAGCTGGGCTCTGCCCTGTGCTCCAAGCTGAGCTCTGGCCTGTGCTCCAAGCTGGGCTCTGCCCTGTGCCCCAAGCTGGGCTCTGCCCTGTGCTCCAAGCTGGGCTCTGCCCTGTGCTCACACACATGCAACCCGTCCTCGACTCAAGTCCATTCCATCCAGCGGTCGGCCCCACAGACGCATTCATAAATGTTAACATGATGTTCATTCAAAACGGGACTTTTCTCAAAAATAAATTAATATTATAATATATTAGGATATTATGCATATACAGGGATAGGTTAGGTTAGCTTAGGTATTTAGGTTCTGTTGGCGATTATTTGTATTTGTAGTACGTGGGTGAAGCATTTACAGCGTTGTGGTTCGAACAAAAGTCGTCAGTGAAGCACTTGTTCCGGAAGTGTTCGAACGTCATCAGTTGTGAGTCTTGTGTAAGCCGTTTTTCATTCCTAAACAGCTGGGGGTTTGGCGGGTGCATGGAATCACTTTGGGGTCTTTGTTTGGAGGACGGGCTGCACACCTGGCCCAAGATTCACTCAACAGGTACACAACCACTTGCGAAACCTGTGTATCTTTCCACAATCACGGCGGCTTTGTCTACGGTTATTAAACAGTGTATATGAGCTCCGAAGCACTACGAGGTGGTTTGTTACAACAATAACGTTGGGTTGTGAACTTTTCACGCTTATAAGCGGCTTAATAAATGTAAAAACAAAAGCCGGAATGATTAAAAAATGATGTAGAGGTTTCGTAAGGGGTTGTGTAGATGTGTGACGACTAACTGGCCCTGTGGTATTATCCCTTAATACCAACAATAGCACAAGAGTAAGACGTATAGATTTTGGCTTGGTCGTGTTGGTCGTCTGGTCGATATGTTTGACACGCTGGCCCGGAGGTACCAGTCGACCAATGATTGGAAGGCCCCGGGTTCGACTCCAGCAGCAGGACTGAGATGTTTGGCCACATTTTCTTTCACTTTATGCTTATGTTGACCTAGCAGTAGACAAGTACACGTGAGTTAAACAACTGTTGTGGGTGACTGGCTGGTTACAAGGTGCTCCAACACACACCTGGCTGGTGCTCCAGCACACACCTGGCTGGTGTTCCAGCACACACCTGGCTGGTGTTCCAGCACACACCTGGCTGGTGCTCCAGCACACACCTGGCTGGTGCTCCAACACACACCTGGCTGGTGCTCCAGCACACACCTGGCTGGCGCTCCAGCACACACCTGGCTGGCGCTCCAGCACACACCTGGCTGGCGCTCCAGCACACACCTGGCTGGTGTTCCAGCACACACCTGGCTGGCGCTCCAGCACACACCTGGCTGGCGCTCCAGCACACACCTGGCTGGCGCTCCAGCACACACCTGGCTGGTGCTCCAGCACACACCTGGCTGGCGCTCCAGCACACACCTGGCTGGCGCTCCAGCACACACCTGGCTGGCGCTCCAGCACACACCTGGCTGGTGCTCCAGCACACACCTGGCTGGCGCTCCAGCACACACCTGGCTGGTGTTCCAGCACACACCTGGCTGGAGTTAGTAAGAGGTGGAATACATTATAAGGCAACATAGGGCTCCTATAGACGAGCATGAAATATTCTAAGTAGCATTTTAAAGTAATGATTACTTAGCTAAAGTTATAATGGCTTAGATAAAGTTATAAATACTTAGGTAGTCATTACTTTATGATTACTTATGTAGATATATTATGATTACTTATTAGATGTAATATAATTAAAAATAATAAAATATTAGTAGTAAATTGATTTATTACTAATATTTTATATTATTAGTAAATAAATTTACTACTAATTTAAAGTTAGTTGTAAATTGATTTAACAATATAAACAATAAAACAATAACAATATTATTGGTTAACAATATTAACAATAAAATATTTAACAATATTAGGACTTCTCCTCCTAACAGTAGAAGGAGGAGTCTAATATCTTGTATTGTTAGGGAACTGTTACACTAAGTGGTGTTGGGGTGGAGGTTTTGTTGAAATCCGGAAATATTAGAGAAAAAAGTTGGATTCCTGGTTATCTTCTTGAAATCTTATCTTGAGATGATTTCGGGGCTTTAGTGTCCCCGCGGCCCGGTCCTCGACCAGGCCTCCACCCCCAGGAAGCAGCCTGTGACAGATGACTAACACCCAGGTACCTATTTTACTGCTAGGTAACAGGGGCATAGAGTGAAAGAAACTCTGACTATTGAACAAATCCACAAGGGCAGTGACGAGGATTCGAACCTGCGTCTGGGAGCATCTGCCCATTGTTTCTCGCCGGCGCTCGGGATCGAACCCGGGACCACAGGATCACAAGCCCAGCGTGCTGTCCGCTCGGCCGACCGGCTCCTTAGTACTCTAGGATGATTCCTAATACCCTAAGGAGATTCCTGGTTCTCGGATGATTCCTGGTACTCTAGGATGATTCCTAATACCATCAGGAGATTCCTGGTACTCGGATGATTCCTGGTACTCTAGGATGATTTTGATTCCTAGTACCGGGGGTGACCGCCGTCAACGCTGCCAGTACCGGGGGGGGGGGGGTGACCACCGTCAACGCTGCCAGTACCGGGGTGGGGGGGGGGTGACCACCGTCAGCGCTGCCAGTACCGGGGTGGGGGGGGGGTGACCACCGTCAACGCTGCCAGTACCGGGGTGGGGGGGGGGTGACCACCGTCAACGCTGCCAGTACCGGGGTGGGGGGGGGGGTGACCACCGTCAACGCTGTCAGTACCGGGGTGGGGGGGGGTGACCACCGTCAACGCTGCCAGTACCGGGGTGGGGGGGGTGACCACCGTCAACGCTGCCAGTACCGGGGTGGGGGGGGGTGACCACCGTCAGCGCTGCCAGTACCGGGGTGGGGGGGGGGTGACCACCGTCAACGCTGCCAGTACCGGGGTGGGGGGGGGGTGACCACCGTCAACGCTGCCAGTACCGGGGTGGGGGGGGGGTGACCACCGTCAACGCTGCCAGTCCCGGGGTGGGGGGGGGTGACCACCGTCAACGCTGCCAGTACCGGGGTGGGGGGGGGTGACCACCGTCAACGCTGCCAGTACCGGGGTGGGGGGGGGGGGTGACCACCGTCAACGCTGCCAGTACCGGGGTGGGGGGGGGGTGCCACCGTCAACGCTGCCAGTACCGGGGTTGGGGGGGGTGACCACCGTCAACGCTGCCAGTACCGGGGTGGGGGGGGGGGGTGACCACCGTCAACGCTGCCAGTACCGGGGTGGGGGGGGGGTGACCACCGTCAACGCTGCCAGTACCGGGGTGGGGGGGGGGTGACCACCGTCAACGCTGCCAGTACCGGGGTGGGGGGGGGGGGTGACCACCGTCAACGCTGCCAGTACCGGGGTGGGGGGGGGTGACCACCGTCAACGCTGCCAGTACCGGGGTGGGGGGGGGGTGACCACCGTCAACGCTGCCAGTACCGGGGTGGGGGGGGGTGACCACCGTCAACGCTGCCAGTACCGGGGTGGGGGGGGGGTGACCACCGTCAACGCTGCCAGTACCGGGGTGGGGGGGGGGTGACCACCGTCAACGCTGCCAGTACCGGGGTGGGGGGGGGGTGACCACCGTCAACGCTGCCAGTACCGGGGTGGGGGGGGGGTGACCACCGTCAACGCTGCCAGTACCGGGGTGGGGGGGGGGTGACCACCGTCAACGCTGCCAGTACCGGGGTGGGGGGGGGGTGACCACCGTCAACGCTGCCAGTACCGGGGTGGGGGGGGGGGTGACCACCGTCAACGCTGCCAGTACCGGGGTGGGGGGGGGGGTGACCACCGTCAACGCTGCCAGTACCGGGGTGGGGGGGGGGGTGACCACCGTCAACGATGCCAGTACCGGGGTGGGGGGGGGTGACCACCGTCAACGCTGCCAGTACCGGGGTGGGGGGGGGTGACCACCGTCAACGCTGCCAGTACCGGGGTGGGGGGGGGGGGCCACCGTCAACGCTGCCAGTACCGGGGTGGGGGGGGGTGACCACCGTCAACGCTGCCAGTACCGGGGTGGGGGGGGGTGACCACCGTCAACGCTGCCAGTACCGGGGTGGGGGGGGGTGGTCAACGATGCCAGTGACCACCGTCAACGCTGCCAGTACCGGGGTGGGGGGGGGGTGACCACCGTCAACGATGCCAGTACCGGGGTGGGGGGGGGGTGACCACCGTCAACGCTGCCAGAGGGTGTAGGTGGGTGTAGGTGGGTGGCTGTGTGGGTGGAGGTGTAGGTGGGTGTGTAGGTGGGGTGTAGGTGGGTGGCTGTGGGGTGTAGGTGGGTGGCTGTGTGGGTGTAGGTGGGTGGGTGTGTGGGTGTAGGTGGGTGTAGGTGGGTGGGTGTAGGTGGGTGGGTGTAGGTGGGTGGGTGTAGGTGGGTGGGTGTAGGTGGGTGGGTGTGGGTGTGGGTGGTAGGTGTGGGTGTAGGTGGGTGTGGGTGGGTGTAGGTGGGTGGCTGTGGGGGTGTAGGTGGGTGGAGGTGGTGGGTGTAGGTGGGTGGGTGTGGGGGTGTAGGTGGGTGGGTGGGTGGGTGTAGGTGGGTGGGTGGGTGGGTGTAGGTGGGTGGGTGTGGTGGGTGTAGGTGGGTGGGTGTGGTGGGTGTAGGTGGGTGGGTGTGGGTGGTGTAGGTGGGTGGGTGTAGGTGTAGGTGGGGTGTGGTAGGTGGGTGGTGGTGGGTGTAGGTGGGTGGCTGTGGGGGTGTGGTGGGTGGGTGTGTGGGTGTAGGTGGGTGGGTGTGGTGGGTGTAGGTGGGTGGCTGTGTGGGTGTAGGTGGGTGGGTGTGGGGTGTGGGTGGGTGTAGGTGGGTGGTGTGGTGGGTGGGTGGGTGGCTGTGGGTGTGGTGTGGTGTAGGTGTAGGTGGGTGGGTGGAGGTGGTGGGTGGGTGGGTGTAGGTGGGTGGTGTAGGTGGGTGGGTGTGGTGGGTGTAGGTGGGTGGGTGTGGTGGGTGTAGGTGGGGGTGGGGGTGTAGGTGGGTGGGTGTAGGTGGGTGGATGGTGGGTGGGTGTAGGTGGGTGGGTGTGGTGGGTGGTGGGTGGGTGGGGTGTAGGTGGGTGGCTGTGGTGGTGTGGGTGGGTGGCTGTGTGGGTGTAGGTGGGTGGGTGTGGGTGTAGGT